GATTATTTCTAGATAATTTTTGCAGTGTACAGTCCAGCATGTTTTACACACATGAATCAAATCATCGGTGCTCCTTGTTTAATGAAAGAAAAACCTGCAATGGTCATAGAAATAAATTGAATCTGACAAAAGTAATAATAAATACAAATTCTATGAAAATGAACAAATTAAAGGCAAACATTGCTTTTCAATGATACTGAAACTAAACTTTAGGGAAGACAATGCTTCTTGTTAGAGTTCTCATAAAATACAACTTGTTTCTCATAATTTTAGGACTTTATTCTCTTAAAGAGAAGACAGAAATGATGACACCCTTCACTTCAAGGTTTGTTGTAAAGCCTTTAGAATCAATCCCTGCTATCAAACCATTCCTGTCAGTTTGACTCTTTCCCTCTCAAGCAGGTATTTTGGTCCATTCCTCATGAGCCAACTGATCCAGTCTCGGCTTTGAAGTGTCTTTTCCAGACATTATGCTTCATGTTTCATCTCCGTCCAAAGATGCTCATTAGGATCTAGATCATGGCTCACAAAAGGCCACTTTAGAATAATCCAGTGTTTCCCTCTCAGCCATTCTTTGCTGTTTTTATCTGTGATTTTGGGGTTTTTTGACACTGGGCAGCACATTTTCTCTAGAATCCCTTGATAGTCTTCAGATTTTATTTCACCCTGCAGAGATTCAGACACCATGGGAGTAGGTGGGCATAGGGACCATAGGGACATGTCCCTAACAAAAGTTTGGATGGACCTACTTGTCTCTAACAATAATTTGATGTACAACATGTTTATAATTTACAATACAGCGTTGTTACATAAGAAGCTATTTAAACAGTCAGACAGTAGCAATATAGGATGATGAAAAAAGGTTGTATTACATTTAATCCTTTACTATTAAAAACGCACTTGTATAATAGAAACATTATATGATTGTAGGAAACCAAGATATCATGATGCAGGGCAGCCTCATGGTAAAGCAGCTGGCCTTCAGTGCTGAATTATGGAAGAAATGGGTTAGGAATGTTACCATAAAATTAGGATTGCAACTAATGATTATTTCGCAAATTGATTAATCTGTCGATTATTTTTTCGATGAATCGATTAATAATCAGATCAGCCAAAGGTTCCTCAAAGAAGATTTTTTACAAAATGAAACCATGAAACCAGAAAACAGAAACTTTTCCTCTTGAGGAGTTCTGGATGGAGAATATTAAAAGATAACATTTTTTTTTATCTCAAATGCAAAATGTTTGCATATTTTTTACAATCTTGTAATAATTCCTGCTCCAAGTGGGTCGCGCTGTTGGCTAAAGCACATTTTAGTGGCCCAATACTCCAGGTAATGATTAATCAATTACTAAATTAGTTAATTAGCCCTAGATAAAATACATGAAATGGGCTACAGAAAGTAACTACAGCCCAGATGTACAACTTGTTTTAAATGATCAGTGTCAGTTCCTCTTATAGTTCCAGTGCAAATATAAATACAATACTTTTATTTACCTTCCCTTGAATGTATTATTTTGCATGATACAAAATAGATAAAAAATTAGATAAAAAATAAGAATGGGGTTTACCTCTGCTTACCTCTTCACAATTCTATATCTTCAAAAGAAAACACAAGATAAATCCACATATAACAGACATATTTAGACTATATTTGGTGAAATAGACACTGTCTTAGTCACTGGTGAGTTTAAATGCAAACCTTTTCAAAGTGGAAAAAAGTCCTAATTCCACATTCATCAGAGCCAGTGATGCTTTAAACATTGATAAACAGAATCTAGTTAGTGTAGTGCTTATACGATTTGTATTAATGTAGCAAGAAATGGTGCTGTTCTCTTTAAACAAAATGAGCCCTGAAGCTTACATTAAGCATAGAAAAAGAGCATGCATATTTTTGCAAAGGACCAATGACATCAGACCAATGAAACTGAATAGAAATACTGTCCCCACCAAAATTGAAATCAAACCTACGCCCTTCACTGGAAAAACAATCTAGAAAGAAGTAAAAAATGTCTTAAATCAAGTATATTTACCCTTAATTTGAGTAGGTAAATAAGATAGTTTGCCAATGGAATGAGTATTTCTACTCTTAAAATAAGATAATTAGATAAGATGCACTTAAAAAAAACAATGCAAATGCGTTTTCTAATTTTAAATGTAAATTGTCTCATTCCATTGGCAAAATGTCACTTTTACCTTGTCAATCCAAGAACAAATGTACATATTTTAAGGAAAAAAATTACTTATCTAGATTTAGATTTTTCCCAATGTTGTCAGACACCCTGTGTCAGATGAATCAAAGCAGCCCCAGAGCATAACAGAGCCTCCGCCATGTTTCACAGTAGGGACATTTTTTATATGCTTCATCTTCCTACTGTAAACATATAGTTAATCTCCCTTGGGGGAAAAAAAAATAATTTTTTGTCTCATCTGTCCATATTAGATTTTCACAGAAGCCTTCTCTAAATGAAATTTGGCAAATTCCAGTCTTGCAGTTTTATGATTTCCCTCTTGGTCGTCTCCCATGAAATGATATGGTACAAATGATATGACACCGATTTCCCTTGAGTTTGAAGTTCACCTTTAATCTGTAAATTTTTCTGGGCTTATTTGTACGGAAGAGGATTAGGGCCACTGGGAAAAAAAAAGGTTTACTGATTTTTAAATTTGATCTCAGTTTAATATGGGAAAAAAATAAGAATTCTGACTTCTTTCCCAGAATGTTTAGAGTTTGACTGGACCAATCTAAAATGAGTATGTCTGCTGTTTAACCCATTCTTTTTTGGCCCCTGCTACGCTGCAGATGTCTGCAAATGCAAGTCTGTCTCAGATTTAGCCAGAAGGTCTTTTTGATGTTCTTTTGAGAATAATTATATGCAAGATTATTAAACTTCTTATGAGAGGAGTCTACTAAAAAATAAGTGTGATAATCTGACAGAAAAGATCAAAGTCTTTTCGGCTAAATCTAAGATTATAACATTTGGAAAACTTTGTTTTCCTGCTAAAGGTGAGCCTCCTAGCTTCTAGTTGACCAGTTCCTGTTGGAAAGAAAAGTTCCTTCAGTATGATGCACTTGAAGCCATGAATAAGTAAGGGTGATATCTCCAGGGTTATCTCCACAGTCTTTTATAGAAGCTTAAACATTACTTATGGCTCTCATGTCTTTCTTTCAACAACAGCATTTCAATTCAACTTCATTAAAAAAAAATCATCAAAGGGAAATGAAATTATATCCTAATTAGTGTTGCGTCGATGCCATTTTTTGTGCATACCACCCATGTTAGTGCTGGATCGAGGCCCCGCCTGATACTGGTATCGGTATCAGTGCAACATTAATCGTAATAAGAATATTAATAATATTCTCTTGCTACCATTCCCTAAAGGAGCTGCAGCACTGATAGTTACCCTGCTGATGCTGACACCAAATACTGCAGTTCCTCAGTGGTCGCTGCTGACCTTGTGGGGGCCTCTCTGGTTAACGCTCTCCTAGACTGCACTGAAAAAGCTGATACTAAAAATAAGCCGAAACGTCCTAAAACCAATTTATTTCTCCTTAATTTGAGCAGGCAGGTAAGACCACCTGGCAATGGAATTAATATTATTTCCTTTAAAATTTGATCATTATATATTATGCCCTTGAAAGTAGATAATGGATTTTTTTTTCTTCGTATTTCAACATATTGAGATTTAAAAGGGTTTTTTGTAGACCAAAACTAAACTACTACCAATGATCATTATGATAATAACATAAATCATCTTGTTCCAATGGGAATGACTCACTTGCCTCCTAAATTTCAAGGTAAAATACATTCATTTTAAATAACGACTTATTTATGTTTTATTTGTCACCGTGCTCTGTTTGTACAGGTTAAAGGTCGCCCCTTAATGGGTTTTAGTTGTACTGTTGATTGAATAGACATCTGCAAAATGTTCAAAGCTTGTATATTATTTTTAAATCTAAAATCCGGCTTTAAATTACTCCACATATACATTTCTGACCTGCTGAGAATAAATCATACACAAACAGACTTTATCTATTATATACATTTAAAGCAACTGGAAATACTGAATTTTATTAGATGTATTAGAATATAGAGGTAGAAAATGTGTTAATGTCGCATATTTAAGTCCTTTGTTCAATATTTGGTTTTCATTTTAAACTAAGATATTGTTTTGTTTTGATCACATAGAATCCTGGAGAAATTAAACACCTGTAGCCATAAAATCTAATAAAAAATATTAGATAAAAAAAGCACTATTTATTATAGGTTTTGAAACCTTTTGACTTTCAACACACATTACCTCTTTTATCATAAAAATTATTGCACTTCACCCTCTAGCATGTTGATAAGAAATGGCCTGACCACATTCATGTTTCCCCTTATTACTGTGCCATGTCAGCCGGAAACTCCCCACAATAATCACCCTTTCCTTTCATTTACTCCATTTCCCCCCTTCCTAAGCAGCTAATTCCTTCTTTTTTCCCCGAATACTCCAGTTTTAATATGTTTCAAACAGACCAGACTAATAAGTCCTGATTTACGTCAAGTCTTGACCTGGCTCCTCCACGGCCTTATCAGGTCACCCTCTAGCTTCTGCTCAGCATTCAATTAGGTCCCTCGTCCCATCAGAGCACATCACATCAGAGCTGCACCTACTGCCTGACTGCCTCCCGCCTCACTGGATCCAGGCCTGTCCTCCTGCTCTCAGTGGCACATAACAGCCAGCAGATTACTGAAGTTTCTAATAAAACCAGCCTGATCATGCTGGGTATTCTGAGGAAACGTTTGACATTGCGAACTGTTTTCCCAGCCCAGATCTGCTCCTCACAGGCTGCTGACAGATATCTAAGCAGAGGTTCGACATTCCACATCTGTTAGCTTGTCTGCTGGGCGGTTCTGCTCCATGTAGAAGCATTACTGGCAATGAAGAGGTATAAAACCAGATTCGGGGCGAACAGGCGAGGAGAACAATAGGAGCGGAGAAGTGGAAGTGCTGCACATAAACTCCTGATATAGGGTAATTTAATCAGATTGCCACAATGAGTCGCAGCCCAGAGAGAATTTCATCCTACCGCCGTCACTTTGAGGACAGCAGCAGCTCGACCTACCAGGTCAGGGTGTCCAGCCCGTCCCCTACCAGGAGAGAGGTCCGTCATGGCTCCGTCGGCTACTCTGCAAGAGCCAAGACCAGCAGCATGTGTGTGGACTCTGTGGGGCGAAGGACTGTGTCTGCTGCACGCAGGTCACGGCTGGTTGGAGTTGGGTAAGAGCAGAGAAACTCAATGCAGAATAAGAGGCATATTTGATCCCTTTTTCTCTCCTTTCATTAAAAATTCCATATTTTTCCATGTTTGACAGCGGAGGGGCCTTGGTGTGTGTGGGGCCAAGTGGAGAACGTCCCATAGACCTGGATGCTGCAGCAGCTGAGAACCAGGAGTTCCTCAGCACCAGAACGACCGAAAGACAAGAGATGGTCGTCCTCAATGACAGGCTGGCCGTTTACATCGACAAGGTAGAAACATTATCTATGATTGTATTTCAAAGATAACCACTCGGTAGCACATTAAGGAGGTCAATGGAAGGTTTACCATTTTCTTTCAACAGATAAAAACATTAAAAGGCTTTGTTGTGTTTGTGTTCCACCCCTTTAACTCTGACACCCTTAATTAAAATCCAGCCAAGGGGTGTCATTTAATCTCAGAGGATGATTGGTAGGATTAGAAAACAGATAACATCAGGAAGGCCAAATTTTAATAGATGGTCCCCGTCCTAGATCAGGGCTCCTTAAACAGGGGTCATGACACACCAAGTAGATGGTCGTAAGGTGGTTACACCATCATTGTAATCTAATGCGTGAGGTATATACTGAGGGCTGCAAAATATCAACATATGTATAAAATATCCACACTAAATGTTGCAGTGTTAAAGTAACACCTTAAGTGTACATTTGGTCCTACTCTGACTTAGTGTTACTTTAACACTGCAACATTTACTGTATACATTCATATGAATTTACCATGAAGTGAATGTAACCTTTATTCATTCATCTAATATATGTTTAGAACATCAAATATAACATTATGGAGTGAACTTTAGTCTATTATTGTTGCAACCAAACAAACAGGATTTGTAAATGAAAAGAAAAATTCAAAAATTAGACTTTTGAGAGAATTTTGCTATTTCCTCTAATTTTTTTTTCAATACTTATTTTTTTAAATTAAACATTTTTTTAAATTGTGCATTTCAGTTTTTTATTTACAGATTTTATATTTCAAACTTAATTTTTTTAGATTGAGTTTTATAGATAATATTTTTCAATTAGTGTAACATAGATCACATTCTCTTCTTCACTTGAAGCCCAATGCAAACGCTGACAGACATTGATCAATAAAAATGTTCATCATTGCAGACAAATAAAAATGCATATTTGCTCCTCACTTAATAAGAAAGCTGGAAAGGAAGAGAATGTGGTTTGTAAAACAATTTGAATCTAACTTGTAAAAACTTAAGCTGGAAAAGAGAAACTTGAAAATTAAATTAAAGAAAAAAAAAATGGAAAATGGAAAAATTGAAAAAAAAAATGAAAAAAACTCAGAGGAAACTTACTTCTTTGCTTGCAGCAACAATGGGAAAAAAAATCACATGTACAATCAAACAAATACATATCCAGTTAAATAGATGTATATTTAGAATGAACAACAAAATAACTAAATATCATTAAAGACTTTTAAAAATGAATATAATTCCATCTTTTATATTTACAAATAAATATAGTGTATATTTGTTATTATTAGGGCCAGGGGCTGAAATGTTTGGGGACCTCTGTGCTAAACGGTGCAAAGTACAGGTCTAGGTTATAATACAATATCTCCAACTTTTGAAATTCCGAAGAACATCTTTTAATCTATTAGGCAAAAATGGACGCAAAATGTATGAAAGGAGATGCTTTGCTCAGAATTAGAACATTTTAGCCTCCATGCGATGAGCATTTACCCAGACAAAGCAAAGCTAATTCATACCAGGAATGGCCTAGACAAACTTTTGATTTAAATGAGATAAAAAGTCAGCAACAAGGTTTGCAAGTCTGCAAAGAAGATAAATAGTCAGTTTAAGGAGATAAAAAAGCTGTTGTGGGAGACTAACTGAAACAATAAGTGGATTTCTGTTTGGAAAACTTTACTCAAGGTGGTTTCAGTGTGAAAAAAAGTAATAAAAGTCTTGAAAGATGTTTATTTGGCATTGGAGTATTATTTTCGCATCAGTCTAAAATGACTTTTCTGAAGAGAGAAGTAATTGAATGATGATCTCAGTAGAGCTGAGCTTTTGTGTTCTCACAGGTCCGATCGCTGGAGCAGAAGAACAAGCTACTGGAAGCAGAGATAGAGGCCTACCAGAACCGGTTTGAGAAGCCTTCGGGTCTGCGCCTGCTCTACGAGCAGCAGCTGAAGGAGCTGAAGAAGATTGCTGATCAGATGAGAGTCCAGCGGGTGAGGCAGAATATTTTATAGCGCATCTCCTGATTCTTTTTGTTGTTTTTTTTCCTCTATATTTCAGATGTTCATCAGGGCATGAAGCTTTACACCCCACTGATTTAGTAGCTCTGTTTGAGCAACGCTACAAGACGTCAACTTGGTGTTTTCAGGGTTCCTTACCTGGTGAAAGGCGCCTGTTTCTGGCAGGCAAATGGAGAGGTGCCTCAGTGAGTTTAGGTGTCATGGAGTGCAGCTGTCATCACTTATGCTTCATGCACAGATGATGACTTGATCATGCATATGCAGGCACACAGTCACAAACACACACAGAGAGAGAGGAAGAGAATGAATACATGGAGCAAAAATGCAACAGGGGTTGATCTACATTCTGCACACCTCTTTGTGTTCAAATCCAAACCTAACAGACAAGGGAATTACTGTTGGTTATTTTCAGGACATTTCTTTGGCTGCTAAGGAGGCTGCAGCTGGCCAACTAGAGGCAATCAAAATCAAATACGAGGAGGCCTTGGAGCTACGAAAGAAGGCCGAGTTAGACATAGAAGCCTTCCGTCCAGTGGGTACAATTTTTTTATCCAGATTTTCTACTTATGACAACAACTTTGTGATTATAAACATGTGGTAATGTCGCTCTCTCTCCAGGATGTCGACAAAGCCACCTCCTCCCGCATCGCTTTGGAGAAAAAGCTGGAGCAGCTGGAGGTTGAAATTGAATTCCTGAAGCGAATCCATCAGCAGGTTCTTAAGATCTCTGTGGGAGGAATAAGTATTCCGGCAGTTTTTCCCCTCCTAGATGATTCCTGACTTTCACCGTTTATGTGTAGGAAATCGAAGAACTCATGAAACAGATCTACACGGCTCACGTCTCGGCTGAGAGTGCCTTCTCTCTGCCTGATCTAGCTGGCGCTTTGAAACAAATCCAAACCCAGTACGATGATATCGCTGCCAAAAACCTCCAGGTGAGTCACCAGTAAATAGGTAAAAGCCAAATCTGTGGTCTCTTCTTAGACAGATGTCTAAGATGGTTTCTAATTTTTCTTTTTAGGAAATGGATTCATGGTATAAAAACAAGTTTGAAGATTTAACCAAAAAGACATCAAGACACGTAGACAAAGTTCGAAGCGTCAGAGAAGAAATTGCCGGAGCCAAAAAGGATGTAAGTTTCATCATTCAAATACGCTAATAAACAGTCACAAAGTATAAAGTACCAGTCAGTAATTTGTACCATCCATGTTGAAATGCTATTAGATACAAAACAAAGAAAGGGACTTGGACTCCCTGAGGACCAGAAATGAAGCCCTTGAAGTCCAAATTCGAGAGGCACAAGAAAAGTACAAGAAGGAACTGGAAGAGCTGCAGGTAAACATCGGCTCACTCGGGGTGGACACCTGATCACGCCACAGTCATCACGTGACCACTTTTCCACATCTGTTCCCATAGGCTCGGATTGAGGCCCTGCAGCTTGAGCTCAAATCCACCAAGAAGAAAATTGCCCTGCACCTGAGTGAGTACCAGGAACTTTTAAACATTAAGATGGCTCTGGAGATCGAGATCACGACATACAGGTACATCCAAAAACAGTCCCAATAATTCATTACATTACTGTATTTCAGTGAACTGTGTGACAAATACATGTTGTTGTTGTTTTATTTTTGTCTTGCAGAAAGTTAATTGAGGGGGAAGACCTGCGGCTCTCTGGCATGATGAAATCCCTCTCCATTACCAGCTGTAGCATGAGCGCCATTGGTGCTGGGGTGAGCCTTAGTGGAGGAAGCACTGATGGCTTAAGTGGTATCGGTGGCAGAACAATAGGAAGTAGCAGAGGAGAAGTTGGAGGTGCTGCAGGAATGACTGGAGAAATGGTTACAGGAGTCATGAGATCAGGCTCTGGAACTGCTGAAGGTACCGGTGCTGGTAGAGCAGGTGTTCCCAGCATGAATGGAGGTCAAGCACTAAGAGAAGGAGAAGGTGGTGTCAGAGAAGTTGATGGGAGTCTTAGCACTGATGGTGGAAGTGAGGGACAGAGTGCCATTAGTACTAGTACAGGCTCTGGAAGCTTTAGTTCTGGTAAAGATGGTAGAGTTGGCTCCGGTGCTGATTCTTCAGGCACTAGTCCTAAGGGTTTGAGCTCTTCTGCTCCAGGTTTTAGTACCGATGTTGGTGGTGAGGGATTCAGCAATGGAGGACCTGGACGCGCAGATGGTAACACCTCGGTCTTAGCAGCTGGAAGACATGGTGACAAAGCCGAAGGCCAAGGTGCTGGGTCAGATACTGGTGTTGGACGGGTAGGATTTAGCTCTGGGGGAACTGGTGACAGCAGTGGAGCTGAAACAGGTGCAGAAGGGGATATCCTTAGCTCACCAGGTGTTCCAGGTGCAGCTGAAACTGAAATAAGAAAAGGAAACGGTGTAGAAACAGAAGTTAGGGTTGCTGGAAATGACACTGGGTTGAGTTCCAGGGGAATGGGGGGAAACAGTGCAGTTGGTGGTACAAGCGGAAAAGGGGGTGCTGGGGCTGAAATTGGAAAAGGTAAAGATGGAAGCACAGGCCGAGGACGGAGTCCTTCGGATATGCGGAGAGGAATCCAGGGCACTGCTGGAACTGTAGGGAAGGTTGGAGATGATGTAGGTGTCGCTTTGTCAGGCGGGGTTGGGGTTGGTAGGTTCGGTGCAGGGAAGGGGGACATAAGTGGTGTCAAGATTGGATATGGATTGGACGGACATGACAGCAACACCGAGTCCTATGTGGAGCAGGCCGTGGAGCTGACAGAGAGAAGAACAGTACTTATTAGGTAAAGGTACCACCAGGTATCTTGGAACAAAGCCTCTTTATATAGCCTGTCTAAAACTAAGAAGCTGTAACACAACTGAAAAGGTTTCACTGATGGCTTATATAAATAGAACTACAATTGAGCCAGTAATCAGTGTACCCCTCTGGTGTTTGAGTTCATTCCAAGTCTCGTCTTTTCTCCTCCCCTATAGGACGGTTAAAAAGGACGACGATGTGCTGGAGATGGACCACCAAGAGCAGACCTACACCATCAGTGGTGCTGCAGATGACTGCGATGTCGACTGAGGAGCACAAACTCTGTATTGACTTCCTCCCGCCCTTAAACCTCCACTCCCCTCTGAGCTTTGCACTGACCCAAAACCCCTGTTTGGTTGCTGACCTTTGCCCTTTAGCCTGGACAAGAAAACCGCAAATGACCTTTTCACTTGATACGCTCACCATGCCCTCTAGACGCCCACCCCTTGTTTTCTACCTGCTATAAATAAAGTTACAAGCATTCAATTACCTTGTCCGCCGTGTATTTGATGTCTTTATAAAGCATATGATTCATGCCTCAGAGTGTCATTTTATACAGCTGTTTCTGGTTTTGGTTTGGTGGTAAACATAAAACTTTACAAAACTACTTACACCACTTAAAATGTTCCAAGGACAAATTTTACAACTGTAACAATTTTTTTCTAATTGTTTCCAACTATTTTCCTATTAATAAAAAAAATAAAAATAACCCTCTGAATTCAAAATTTTGTCAGAAAGTGCACACACATAATAAATACTCATTCAGGCAGTATTTGAAACTGCTCTCCATATGTACCAGAGTACAGATTTAATATCATGAGGCCGCAGATATGTCACATGCTTCTTCTTTGCTGCCTTGCTTTTTATGTCCCTGCAGATTGTCTCCTACTCCCATGTTTCTGTGCGCTAAAGTCAACTTTTGTTTCTTTAGGGTGGAACCAAACTGGGAAAGTAAACTGTCTATAATTGGCTACTTTTTAATGGAATCCAGCCTCTAGGAGGCCAACTGTTTCCTTCTAGTTACGCTATCGATGTAGCAATAAATAAATATTCAGGATAATAGTTGTCTACAACAGTGGAATTCTGACTTCATATCAAACAGCCATCTTTGTCATTAACTGACAATTTCATAAGCACAATACTGGACACAAAAAAAAATGCAAAACAGTAGCTACCTCTTTGTTCAACTATAACAAGAGCTAATTCAAGCTTTGTTTCTCAATCTAGCATTAGCTACGGTATACAAAATTACAAATTTAAAATTAGTAATTTTATACCATATTGCTACTGCTGTCAAAACACAACAGTGTTAAACTAGGTTATTTAATGATGACTTCACTTAACTGAGTTTGAACTCTTTAAAGTCATAGGGAATCATATTTAAATGTCGAGTCATTCTGGCTTAAACATGTATATTCTTTATCAGACGATATTGTCCCAAAACCTAGAAAATTTCGATTTAAAAAAAAATCCTGTCTTAAAATTAGTTTTTTCCCCGCTATCTTATGCAGGCCAGTTAGTTATACGTCAGCCTGAACACCTAAATTCGGCCAATCATATATCAATGGACATCTGTCAATCAATTTTTTTCGCTCATAGCATCTTGATTCATATGTTGCAGCTACGCAACGGTTGAAATAAGAATCATTTCCTTTCCCACTGAGTTCTGTCCCAATGTTCACCGGGATGGACGTCTGTGTCTTCAGCAGGCGTAGAGCTAACAGAACTGGCAGCGTTGCGAGGCAAGGGCTCAAACATGTACGGCTGTAAGCCTTCTACACCAAACCAAGCTTCTGCCCCCCTGGCGTCCTCTTACACAACATCTTCATTCTCGCTTTTCTCCCCTAAATAAGAAAATGTATGACGGAGGAGATTCATCCACGACCTCCTACACAAAACTTTCCTCCTCTTGCATGTTTCCGCTGTCCATAGCGTTCCTTGACAGTGTCGTTTCTAAGTCACCAATTTAGTGCTACTTGGTCCAAATGTAATTTTCCATTGGGAACCTACTAACACTAAGTTGCTAACTGGTTAGCAAGATGCTTCTGAGACACCGGCTACAATCAAACTTGCTTGTGAATCTCTCGCCACAACAATCCCGCCCTGTTGATAAACAACCAATCACATTCACTTTATTCACTCTTGTAAAGTCGGGCACCACTCAGGAGAATTCGGAAATGCAACGGTTGGAACAGCCGTTTCGCTACGACTTTGAGGGAACAGTAATTAGCCAAAAGATTGCTAACATTACTAGCCGCCACTAGGAAGAAAACTGTAATTATTAAACAATAATTTTGTTATTTTCTAAGGGCCGTAATTTTGGGGGTGTTATTGTTGTTCTCATGATTTTGGCGCTGATGGCTGGCTTGATTGCTCATTTCTTTCACCTGTCCAGCTCTAACCTGTTCCTCATCAGATCCACCTGTTCCGCATTCCTATTTAAGCTTCCTGGTTCCCAGTCAACAACGCCAGATTAATGAGCCTTTGGTAGAGAGAGTTGTCTATCGTACTTAGTGTTCTGATCATATGATCCTGAACCTGTTCTTGCCTTTGGACCTTTGAACCTGCCTGCCCCCTGTCTTGTTAGTTTTGCCTGCCTGTCTCCGGTCTACTGTCAACTCTGCAGCCTTCCACATCTTGAAGTCTCTGGCAGCACTCGCTGCTTCTGTTCAGTTGACTGGCTGGAACCATCCCTGTTCTTTGGTCACTAGCCGCCGTAACCGCAGTTCCACAGCCCGCTTCTGTTGTTTTCAATAAACGGCTTTAAGTATTCTACTGTCTGTCTCGCTTGAATTCTGGTTCCTATGTTCTAAGCTTATTACAATTTTGTGGGTTAAGCTGCCCACCTAATTATCTATTTGATCAGTTGTTTCCACGAAAGGATTCCCCACACCAAAGTAGATGCACCCCTAAATAAGACACAATGTGATCTGAAGGTACTCTCATTGCCTGGCCTGTCAGTTAAAGTAGATAGAAAAACCAATATATTAAGTTTAGAATCTTTAATTAAAATGACTTTTCTCACTGTTTTACCTCTGACCGGTCTGCTGCATTTATTATTTGTCTATTTGGTATGCACAATGCAAAAAAAATCAACAATTGGCAATTTCTCCAGAATTAGCCAAAAGGCTTTAATCTGTTGTCCCTGTCTTGCTAGAAACCAACAAAGGTTATACATTCAAGGTAAAAACGATTAAACTACAAAAATATTGTCCCTTAAAATATATGATGCAACACAATTTCTTCCTATAGCCCTTTTACTATTGGATTTATGCAGAAATAAAATTATATTTAGTTAGCACCTGAGTTTAATGAAGAGTAGACCTAACACTACAGTATGGCACCAAACATGTTTTGTAGACTTTCATTGTAATTTTTAATTTATTTTTAAATGTTCCATAGAGCTAACATATACGTAAAATGTTAATAAATCAGATTATGTTTGTAGTCTGAATTTGAAAAACTGATCATCCTTAGGTGATGTGAGTAGATCTACACTGAATGTCACTATGGAATGATAAAGAGTGAAAAAGGAGAAGGAAGTTGTATGCAAGCAGCTAAGCAGAAATACAGGACTAGAGACACCTGAGGGTTGTGGGGCAGGGGGGAGGTCCTGACACTTTTCACGGTCTTCAGAAGCAGTCAGTCAAATCCTATCCTACAAGAAGTGACGCCTCACAGCCGTTTTCTGTCCTCATTCAATCCACATCCACACCTTCTTCTCCCGCTGCTGATCGGGAGAGATTGGATCTGGGCATCATATGCCAAACATGCTTAGCGTTCGGCTCTGGGGCCGAGAATGGAAAAAATGCAACAAACCCCAACAGCAAGACGATCAATGTCACTGCAGGGAGAGACTTCTGTGGCTGATGTTTATTTGTACATTTAATAAATGTTTTGTTATTCTTTTGGTTCTTTAATATCAGCAGAGACAAAAAACGCTAAATTGGTGCCATTTTGTAAAATAACGGTTTTAATGCAAGACAAAGGATTACATATTTGCTTCAGGAGTTAGTAACCCTAATGCAAACCTCTAAATGACAATAAATGAAAGTAGGAACACTTGAAAAGTAGTTATTTTACTGCTTATATTTATCATGACAGTTATGTACAACATCCCGCTTTTTAACATTGAGTAAACAGAATAGGAGAGAAGAGGTTCACTCAGTGGTTCTTACAGTGTTTAGAGCTTAAATAGAGGGTCGATTTTAAGGCTAAAGGAGACGCACCCACAGGGATGCATAGGAAGTAAACAAACAGCAGCATCAAACACTAAGCTGCTTCTTCACTATTCAAAAATATTTAACAGAGAAGCTGCGTGATTTTTTTAAAACATCCATTAGGTTTTCAATACAGCAGGGGTCTTCAATGTTTTCCAGACCAAGGACCCCAAAACTGATGGCAAGATGGAGCGGGGACCCCCTAATTATATAAATTGTATGAAATTGTGTTCTATCAAACTGGTCCTAAAGTTATTCTATTACATATGGAGTAACGTAACGAAATTAATTTTGCCTTGGGATTATTAAAGTATTTCTGATTCTGATTCCTGGTTAATGGGACAGGTGTTGTGAAT